GGGGAGAGGGGAGATGGGGAGAGGAGAGGAGAGAGGGGAGAGGAGAGGAGATGGCTCTAAAGGCAGATCTCAACCATTCTAGTGGCAGTAGGGACTTAACCGGTTAAGAAGCTGAGGCTACAAGGGTTAGTGGCCAGTTGGTGAATGAATGAGAGGAGCCGTTTTAAAGAGCCCGGTTTCTGGGTCAGGACAAGGGGATGCAGGATGGCCTGCTTTGGTGCGAGAGAACTTACACATGTCAGTGTGAGGAAGGAGTAGAAATGGTGGCTTTTGGTGTAGTCACTGAGGAGGCAGTTGGACAGACTGTTAGGGAGTTTGGTAGATGGTTCTGACTTAGACATTTCTTCTCATGAGAAGCCTGATTGACAGTCTGCAGTTAAGCATTCCTATGACCCCCTGAAATCTCATTCTCCTTCTTAGAGAACAGCAACAAATACCAGCTTAAACTGTCAGAAATTAACATTGCTCCCAGGTTATCGATAGAACAAGAGTGTGCTGCCAGCCCATGTCTCTCTGTCTTCTCCTTGCGTCTTCTAAAAGAGGCAGGGGTTCTAGTTTGACAGAGTGTGGTTGAGAACATAATTGATAAAGTCACTAGTGCAGTGGACAGCGGGGTTTCTAAAGAAGATTCACCAACTCATTTGTTCTTCCAGCAACACAACTGAAGACCTTTTTATTGTCACCCCCTTGTCTTTGATACATGAGGAATTGAGCCGAGAGGGCAGGACACTTGTTTTACTATGCAGCTTAAAACTGGCAGAGCTGGGATGGAAATGGAGGTGTGCTGCATGCCCAATCTTGGCTTTTATCACATGTGACTTGCTCATCAGTGATTGCACGTCTACTCGCTAGAAACATGGGCTTTTGGGAAGTATTGCATAACAATGATTGAGCTTTCCCCACCTGGTCCTGCCTCTGAATGTCTTCCACAGGAATCATCACAACCGTACCATAACCCACAGGGAATGATGAAATCCCTTTTGAGAACTAAGAGCCTGAAGATTCAGCGATAGTTTCTAGTCAGGTAGCAGGCAGTAATTGGTACTCAGAGCCATCTCCCTCCAAGCTAATAGCTTTACTGTTAACTGCCAGTGACTCCAGGCAGCATTGCTGCTTTGTTTCATTCTGTGCTATCAGTTGGTTCTGACTCACAGTGACCCTATCTGTGTACAGCAGAGAGAAATACGGCCGGTCATGCAGCGTCCTCACAATTGTTGGAGCCTGTTCAAGGCAACATTAGATACAGTGAAAGGAACTGCTGCCTGATTCTGGAATATCCTCATCATAGGCTACAAGTTGGTCCCTAGAATATTCCTTGGTTGACTTTTGGAAGTAGATGGACTATCCTTTTTCCTAGTCCTCCTTAGTCTGAAAGTTCTGTTGAAACCTATTCAGTATCGTTGCACCATGCAAGGCCCCACTGAAAGGTTAGTGGTGCCCACATAAGAAGTGCATTGGCCAGGAAATGAACGGAATGGAAGGTGAGGATTGTACTACCCAACCATTACTGCCCTCAATTCAAAAGTACAATTATACAAATGAAGGGTGGAAAGAACAGGATGGTATACACTTGACCACAAAGAAAGCAAAAAGCTACGAAGTGTAAGCTGGGCAGGAGTGTCCACCCTTGTATTTCCTAATTAATATTGGAGAAAACTTAGTGTTTCTGACTACAAAATAATACATGTTCACTGTAGAAATTTCAAAATCACAAAAATAATTAAGTATGACTTCATATACTACCAATCAACTTTTATTTAATTAAATTTTTATGGTTTTTTTTTGTGTGTGTGTTGTTTACTGCCTAGTCCCTAACCAGGTATTATACAATTTAATTATTCAATCATACTAAGAAGAGTTATGTAATTATCACCACCAAGTAATTTCAGGACCATTTCTCCTTATAGTCATCGTTGTTAGCTCCGCATTGCTCCCCAGCCTCCCTGGCCATGCCCTTCTAAACCACACTCATGGCCATCACACCGATGCCCCTCATAACAGCCATCCAGGACAGAGTCCAATAGCCCAAAGAGTTTCCAAGACAGTCATTCTTTTGGGGGGTAGAACGTCCCATCTTCGTCCTGCAGAGTGGCTGGTCATTTTGAACTGCTGACCTTGTGCTGACCACTATGCAACCATGTCCTTGTTGTTAGGTGCCCTCCAGTGAGTTCTGTGACCCATGTACAACAGAATGGAAACATGCCCTGGTCCTGCACCGTTCTCACCACTGTTCCCGAGAGAGCCCATCGGTGCAGCCGCTCTATCATCCATCTCGTCCCAGCTCTTCCTTTCTTTGCTGCCCTCTACTTACTAAGCATCATGTCCCCCTGGCCCAGAAGACAGATACTTTTGTTCTTTTGGCCATCCATTGAACTTTCAATATTCTTTGTCAACACCATCGTTCAATTGTATCCATTCTTTTTCAGTGTTTCTTATTCAATGCCCAAATGTCACATGATTGAAAATCCCATGGCTTGGATCAGGTGCACCTTAGTCCTTAAAGTAACATAAAGATAAGTTCCAGGTATTAGGATCTAGCCATCTTTGAAAGGTTATTATTCAACCTGTTGTACCATCTTATATTTTTACTATGAATTAGGGCCCTGGGCTGTACAAATGGTTACCAACGTTGCTATTAACCAAAAGCTTGGAGATTTGAGTCTACCCAGTGACACCTGAGGGATCTGCTTCCTAAAAAGTAGTCATTGGAAACCCCCGGGAGCATGATTCTACACCAACTGCAGGACGTCCTCATGAGTCAGAGTAGAGGCTCTAGCAACTGGTGGTTGGATCCTCCATGTAAAAGACTTAGCTGAGTGCCTTCATATCCTATTTCGTCTTCACCGACCGCAGCCCCGTGTTATTTCCCTGTGGCATTCAGATGCTGGGTCCTTATTTTCTTCCTTCCTGCCTAGGCTCTCACCTTTCTCCTCTGTCTGTCCTTCAAATAGTTTGGAACACTGGCCTTGAAACCCAGATCACGATTCCTATCATAACGGAGGTCTTGGTTGGTTACACTTTCGGGAGGAGACCTGCCTCATGCATAGAAAAAGAGAACCCCGAAGAAGCCTTCCAGGAAAGTGCTGTTGGCCCCCATGTACAGCGGTCAGGGGAAACCAGCTGGCTGCTGTGGGAAGTTCGCGAGTTGTGTTCCCTACGAGGTGGCCAGCTCTGGTTTGACAGGCCCTCTGCAAGGAAGACTATCCCTGAGGAAGCCGGCAAGAGTGGACATGTGGTCTTCAGGTTATTTCTGTTACACCTTTCCTCAGTTCAGGCACTTAGTCAGGATTTCCTATAACCTCTTCTTCCTAATGGCTGTGAGTTACCAACTCTGACACACATGGAGAATCCAATTTTCTTTGAATCAACAAAAGGAAAGGTACTGTTAGTGAGTTTTCATCATTAATTTGGCTTTTATAAAATATAAAACACTTGGTTATTGCCATCCAGACTCACATCAGCCTTGCTGTGAGGGGCTTAAGCTGTGGAATACAAATCATTCTGACTGAATGCACAGAATAAAATTGTCCCGTGTTCACATTGGACTGATGTAGGCTATAATAAAAAGAAGAAATGTTTACACTCAAAAGATTTTGGAAATGTAAGGGCATTTCTCACTTTTCCCTCCTTAAGGGGTAAGGGCTGAAGCCCAAAGAGGGCAGTTCCTTGCCTGAGGTCATGTGTACCAAGGCCATGTGCAGAGTCCCAGAATGTCGGCTCCGTCCTCTGCTTCCTATGTTGTGATCGGGCCCCAGAGCCACTACCTCCTTCTTTGTTTGTATGCACCTCAGAGGCTTGATCGCCTCCCCCCACAACTCTTTCCGAGGCCTAAACGTGAAACATTGGCCCTCAACTTGGAATCTTATCCATGGGGCAGGAATCCCTCCACCTACAAAAGCCAGGAATGATGCAAGGTCCCAACAACCCCAAGAAATAGATAATATAGTATTTTTACTTGTTTCCAGAATATTCAGTTATTAGAAAGAGAGAGGGAGAAATAGGAACAGTTGAGTAGATACTTACTCATGGAGAATGAAATATTGCCTAGATTTACACCATCCTCACAATCACCAGCACGCCTAAGTGCACTGTTTTTCTGTTGGGATAGGTTTTTGTTAACTTGGCTGGGCTGGTATTCTCAGTAGTTTAGCCCCCTGTGATGTGATCTAACAATATAGCCAATACCATGCTGAGATATGCTGTGGGCAGCCAGAAAATTGTGGGAAGAGGGTGGAGTGAAACCCCTTAGTCAGGTTACAGCTCTCATGAAATTTCCTCAGGGGAGTAGCTCAATTCTATGTAAGTGGACACCGTGGAGAGCTTCTTTACTTCTTGGTAGATCTGGATCCTACAGTTGGATCATTGACCTCTGATTCTTTAAACTTCAGCCAACGATCAGTCATTGATGATCCTGGGAGCCTTCAGCCGTCTACTGTCTGACCTAATGACCTGGGGTTCACTGGACTCGGCAGTTACAGCCTGGCTTGCTGACACTGAATTCATCAGCCTCGCCTGCTCTGTCTTCATCATTGCTGGTCCATCCAGCTTCTTGGTTTGTCAGCTCTTGTTGCTCCAGCCGAACCTCTGCGCGTCTTTGAAAGGGCAGTGGGATAGCTTCCAGCATCGTAGCAACATACAAGCTACCAGGGCATTGAAAATGGATAGACTGGCACATGGGTTTGGATTAACGGCAGGCCCAGCCTCATGGGCCTCTCATTGTGTCCCGTGCCCGAGCAAACTGCAGCCCTGAAGCCTTGCCCTGCCTCGTAGCCCACAGGCTTCTGGCACTGAAGCAGGTTGCACGGTGTGGGGTTGGGGTCTGGCCTGGGCAGAGCCCTACTAGCCCACCCTTGTGAACACCAAGCCTCATTTTCAATTACTGTCAGTCAGCTGAGAACAGCGTGGGTACCATCAAAGGGCGGAGGGTCTCCGGACACAGTGCTTCTTCTCTTGGCGTGAGCTCCATGTGGTGTCTGCTGAGCTTTTCTGTCCCCCTGGTGAGGAAAAAGAAAAAAAAAGAAAATGGATAAACAGTTAGTGAAGTTGGACATTAATGGGGTCCACGCAGCTAACTGTTTTACTAACTTCACATACCTTATTAACATATTTACCACTATGAAATCAGAATCTGAACAGACAGTTGCTACCCACCGTTTGGGTGAGATGAAGAGTCTCTTGTTCACAAAGTCATCACTTTAGGAAGGACCTTGGTGTACAGTCCTTAAGGAGCAGTTCGTCCTCATTCAATCAACTATCATCTTTAATAGAACCTCTTTGTGTGTTGGTCTTATATATCCCTAATGCAGGCAGTTGGAGAGTGAATCTACAAGAGCTTTCTTCAAGTACAGAAAGGGCCAAGAACTACATCAAAGAGTAATTGAAATGGGAACTTTTAAACGCTAGGGCTTAAATCATCTTGGGAAATGGTTTGTCTGCCTGTTTCCTTCCTGATTCCCAAAATGACGGATGGCCACTGGCTGGAAAGAGAAGGAGCTTACACTTTCACCCTAGCTTCTAGAAAGACTAAGGACAGCTGTTTTCCATAACTCATAGGTCTGGTTCTGAGAGTGGGGAAATATTTTATGTTTCGGTGAAGTCCTTATTTTGAGTCCCACCCTCTACTCCCTGTCCATGGAAGTGGCTATTATACAGATGATTTTGCTTCTTACCAGTCGATAACCACACCCACAAATGTCTGTCCTCAAGATGTGGACAGGCAGATCACCGAGAAGGCTTTATAATAACTTTGGAAATTTACTGAATGCAGGTTGACAAATAAAACTGTTGGTGATGAATTACATTACACATCACTATTTCTGGTGACAGCTTCGTGATGTGCTTTTTTAAAAAAATACTTCTGTTGTGGCCTCTTACATCTCATCACAATCCATACATTCATCCAGCGTGCCAAGCGCACTCGCACAGATGCTGCCAGCTCATGATGTGCTGTTTGTAGAGACAAGAAACAAACCACAAACAGGTTTCCTGGTTGTTGTTTTCCTTTAGTTCACTGAGTCATGGCAGCTGGCCTGTGGGCCCAGACCCACCACACCTTACCCCTTGATGAGAGTTTTCTCACAGAAGCTAAAGGTCCTGACCTCATGCATCTAGATTCCTGTCTGAAAAGATATCATTTTTTCCTCTCCTAAAGATGAAATCATTCACTGATTTCTGTCTTGAATGAAAAACTTAGGCTTTCATCCCCCTCCCCCCCGCCCCGTGTTTATACTCTAGAAATTTTAGTACGTTTTAGGTGGAAGTGAAATATCTATAAGGTAAGAAGATCAAGTCCTAAATTATTATGTGAATGTGAGAAACAACCAGTGTTATCAGTGATTGTTATAAAGCATCACCTAACTCGTTGTTTGGTATATCAAATCATACACAGCCATCAGATCTAGTTGCTCCAGCAGATGAGTTATGTTTACTCCATTTCTGTCACATGAACTCTATCTCTCGGATCTTGAGGATGGTGCTTTGTTGTAGATCACATCGTGTGTCCCCCAATATTTAACCAGGCCACGATTCCCAGTACTGGAATTATCCCAGTATTGTGTGATTGTCTTACATTTAGGACGCGCTATATTCCATTTGTGATGTGTTGTAATCCTTCCTCTGATTGTCATTAATGTGGCAGGATGAGGGCATGCTGGATGACCATGATTTAGTAACTATCTAAACACGGGCTGCAGGCCTTGCCCAGTATAAGGGGAGTTTCTCTAGAGTGAGGCCTGCAGTAAGAGGGGGCCACAGTGTCATCAATTAAGAGTAGCCAGGAGATGAGGACATTCATGGGACTTGTACTGACAAATTGCAAGATCCAGGAGGCATGACGGTGCCAAAACACATGGAGATTTCCAAGGAATGCTACTCACGGGTATTAAAAGGAGACAAGAACTTTTCCTCAATGTCAACAGAGACAGAAGAAAATCTAGCCTCCTAATCTGAGGGAGAATAAATTATGTTTGTTAAAGCCACACACTTGTGATAGTTGCACTTGTACCCCTTCCATAAAAAACACACCAAGCCTATTGTCGTTGTTGTTGTTAGGTCCTGTCTAGTGTCATCCGCTGAACAGATTGAAATAGTACCAGGTCCTATACCATCCTCACAGTCCTTGTTAAGTTTGAGCCAATGTTACACCCATGAGAAGACCCATCTCATTCAGGGTCTTCTCTTCGCTGTTGACCATATACTTTGCACGATAGCCTTTTCTAGAATCTGATCTCTCCTGATAACACGTCCGAAGTACATGAGATGAAGGTTTACGTTCTTTTTCTTAAGGAGCCTTCTGGCTGTACTTATTCCAACTGCTTCTTGGTCTATGTACAGGTTCTTTATGATTACAATAAAGTGTTCTGAAATTCCCATTCTTTGTGTAATGTTACTGATACTTTCCTACACTCTATATAGTCAAATGTCTTGCATAGACACAAAAACACAATTGAATACCTTATTAATAGTTTCTGCTTTCCGCCAAGATCTGTCTGACATGAGAAATTATATCTCTTATTCCAAGTTCTTTCTTGAATTTATAGCAGATCCCTGTTGATGTGCTACTACAATCATTTTTTAATTATCTTTACAACATTTTATTTTACTTGTGATATTATTCAATATTTTATGTATTCTGTTGGGTTATTTTTCTTTAGAATGGGTGAAAATATGGATCTTTTCCCTCCTATTGGGGATCTATGTTCCAAATTTCTTGGCATAAACTGGTGTTTCCAGTGCTCCATCAGTTTTTTAAAACTTTTAAAATTAGTGTCCAGTAATTTCCAGAGGCTTGCTTTTCACTAATATTTTCAATGTAACTTAGACTTATTCCTTTAATACCACTGGCTCTTTATTATGTGCTACCTCTTGAAATGGTTGAATATCAGCCTTTTGGGGGGGAAGGGGGGGGTACAATGACTGTGTATTCTTTTCACCCTTTGACACTGCTTGTATCATTCAATATTCTACCTATAGAATCCTTCAGTATCACAACTGGATATTTTAACTTTGATCTTTACTTATTTAGTCTTGAGATTTACTGTGTGCTCTTCGCTTTCAAATGTCTAAATCAAGAATTTTGCACATTTTATTATAATTGTCTTCTTCAGCTGCTTTTTCAAATTTTCTTTTCAGCTTTTTGATTCATCTTTTTCCACTCTCTTTAGTTAATCAATATTAAAGAGCAAATTTCAGAACATCTAGCATTCACTTTGATCTTTTAGTTCCTTCCTGACTTTTCAATAACCTTTTGTTTTTCTAATATATGATGCTTATGATAGGTTTATGGGGCCAACTAGGCCTCTGTAGGAACATATGGGTGAAGCTTAATTGAGTCACAGCTTGATTAGAGGGCGACTGAGATAAATCTTTATAGGACTGGCTTCCTGTCTCTCCTCTTCCTAGTGATGGACAAGTGTGCTGCTGCTTAAGCTAGTCCTTTGCCTCAGCCATGTACTGCACTACCTGTGGGCTGAGCCAGCCCTTGGATACTGCCGCCTTGTCTTGCATCGCTAGAGCTTGAGGCTCCTTCAGTATCTGCTTTACCACACTGTTGGTGGATCATGTCACAGTGCGTCTATCACTTGAGCTTGCGAGCCCATGGGGGCCTGCTTTGCCACACTCCAGAGCAGTTGGTGCCCCACCCTGCTATTTGCTGCCTGCAGCCAAGGACTCTGCCGTCTTGCCTGAGGGTAGACTCCAATGTCTGCTTCCTTGGCCTTGGACCAGCAGTCCACGAGTTGAAGGACCTTCAGTATATTTACTGTTCCACAAAAGTGAGTTGAACTGAGGCCTTGGCACGGCTGTGTACTCTTGCGAGGATTTCTAAATCCAGGTAGGCTCTATTCAAGGATGTACTTTTATTCAACTTCAATTTGAACTTGTATATGAGCTATTGGTAGTCTGTTACACAGCCTACTTCTCACCTTGTTTAGGCTGATGGCATTGAACTTCTTCCTCACCTCTTCCCATAGATATTGGAATTCCATCTCTGTATTGTATTTGGGTAGATGCACACATTTAGTTTCTATTTATATTAAAAAGAGTATTTTCAATGAAAAAGCCATTGGTATTGTAAAATTTCATCACACAATCTCCAGCTTAGTACCTGTCACCAAGGCCATATTTCCCAACTATCACTTCTTCCACTTTGTTTTCAATTTTGTCAGCCCAATCATGTTACTAATAAAGCATCTTGACTGAATGTCTTGCTTGGCTTAAATGCTATCAGGAATTGTGACTTCTTTGTATTTGTGTCTTGCCAGCATCTCTCATGAGCTTTGACCACAGTGGTGTTTAATAAATGCAGGCTGAATGAATGGCGATTGGTCAATCTGAGGGAAGAGTTGAAGATGCCAATGTTATAGATTTTGTGTACAGTTTGTTAAGGTGTTAGGATTTGATAAAAACAGAGATGTGAACACCCAAGCTAAGACAGGGCCACAGTATAACCTGAGTTGAAGTGGGCTCCCTGCCTACATTTTTCTGAGACATTGTAGCCAACAATTTTTGACATTATATTTTCTTAGGGATTTGAAGGTAGAATATAGTAGGATCTATTCATTTTTTAACAAGCCAATCAATTAATTTTGTCTGGTTACTGATTGGTAGTTTAAGCCAGTTGTTTGATTTTAGGAACTTCTGAGTGGATCTCTCTGAGTGCTGCTTCTCCCCAGCAGAATATCAGCTCATTGAACTACATAGACATGACTATATTTGGTTTATTTTAAATAATCTTGATCTACAATCAGTGCTTTGAAAGTAGGATAGTAATTGTGTTAAAATTTTATGCTGAGAAGTATTTCTAGACTT